AAGCAAATTTTACACATATTTCAGCTCATTATCTTTCAATCCAATATMTTCTCAGCTGAATGACCATGAAAAATAAGATTATTCTTTTAAACTTTCTCACTGTCTTTTCAACTAGATGTCAAATGCCACCAGCCCACATATGGTTCAAGTCAGGGCAGAAGAGGGGAAGAAGACCCTAAATAAAAAAACAATTTAATGTTTATAAACCACTAAATATGGGGAATGGAAACACAAATATTCCAGACATATCAATTTTGCCCTGTATGAATCAGCAAACTGCAGTCATGCAGTCTGCACGAATGTCCATGTCAYACATTTTCAGTTAAGCAGAATTCAGAGGAACAACAGTGTGTGACTATTTAAAGAACTCATGAACCATACACAATGCAGACACCACTAAAGGAGATTGAACAGGWYTGGGTTTTGGAAGAATCACAGTAATTAAAACAAAATAGTAAGATTAGCTGAATTAAGGAGATTGCAAACAAAACTACACACGTTGCATTTCTGGTGTGTTAGCCAAATGCCTGTATAACAACACAACATAAAATAAGATGCCATGAACTAATTTATCCTGTAGGGAAAAAACCCCACATAATATACAGAAAGTGGGAATTACTGGAAGAGTGTTTTAACAGATTTGAACTGCACCAACCATATCCACCAGGTCCCGTGCTGAACAGCGTTGCACAGCCAGGGAATTTGGCATTTTCAAAGCAATGCTATTCGCTACTAAGAGATAAATAAAGAAATCATTTACCACTTTGCAGTAGTTATATGCCTAACATTTAATTTTTCTGCCCTAGTGGGATCTCTTTCYAAATGTCTCTGTCTCTCTATTTTCAGGCAAAGTTAATAAATTTGAACCATAAAATCTCTCTTTCTCTACAGAATTACACCAAGAGGTCAAGGCAGAAGATCTGACATAGGCAGTGGTCAGTAGAGGCAAGCTGGACTGTCTGCAGAACAGAAAACCATCAAGGAAGACTGAAAAAGTGCCATGCYAATGGTACTTCTTTCACAAATCACTGGAATTGGTTAATAATAACAYATCTATTGAAGCCTGTGCCCAAATTTATTATATTTGATACAAAAATGTAACACTAACACAAGAAAGAAAAATTGCCATGTGGCCATTCATCATACAATAAAAAACTTCTATTATTATAGATAGTCTGCAGCATATATTGAAAAAGTTTGCAAACTACACTATTTTACCCAGGCTGTGATCTTGGTTTATATGTTCTCTTCTTTGTGGTGCTGCTGGCAATACAAAATTCCGTTTTACAGCAGTGTTTTACTAAATAACTACATTTTATTTCATCAGAAATGTCCCTCTATCTCTTGAGCTTATAATTTAAGTTTAGAAATTAAAGTCAGAATTCTATAGGAAAAAAAAGGAGACCCATTGAGTCACTCCATAAATCTGTCCTATGATTACAGATTAACAAAAAGACACTTGAATTATTTGTCTTGTTATTAGAAGCAGGAATTATCCAAGCAAAGGTACAAAGAGAAAATTCAAACAGCTTTTCATTTTATCTGCAACTAGTCAAACATGCATAAACTCAAACAACTTTCTTACTCTCAAAAAAAAAGTAGAAAATAGCATTAAATAAGTCAATTATTATTTCTCACAACGACTCTATTTGGAAATTAAAATAACAGACTGAAGCAGCAAGTCAAACTGTACTACCTGTAACTGTCTCTGGTCAGATCAAGTTTCCCTGAAATGGACTTTAATAATTATTTACAGCTTTAATAATTATTATTAAGGTACAGATGTCCTTTACGAAGACTCAGCTGGGGAAAGACTCCACCTTCACTCATTCATATCTTAATATAAGGAAACAAGCATCAARAACAGTAATGGAATYGAAAATTCTTTTCCTGCCCAGACAAGTCCTTGAGTGAATGTATTACCCTGATATTTTTTAAAGATTCTGAACTCGTATTAAACTGCTTGGTAAAAAGCCAAACAGGTCTCCTTCTCCTCATACAGAAAAGCGGGATTATCACATGAAGTTCTCAGATAAAAGATTCAAAACAGAACAGATGATGTATTGACATCACACATGAAGTGCAGACTTTACTGACAAATAACATGATAACTGCAAAAACTACACATGGCCTCAGAAGTTCYTCTAAGTATATCCATGAAAAAAATACCTATGCAACACATCATCCCCAATGAAAGAATGGGAAAGCTGACCCAAGGAGTAACCCTATATGCTAGAAAAGAGTGCAAGAGTAAAGCACCTGCTGTCAAATGAGCACCTGCTTAGCTGTGGCAGAAAAGCAGAACTTGAAACAATGCTCCTGTCACATTCCAGGGTCTCAGACCTTTAGGCTTCAAGAGRGAATAACAGATCAGACCAATACAGTTGCTCTGTAGCAGATCAAACCAGGGTGGTTATTCCAGTGAAGAATAGTCTTTGGACTGCCCCCCCCCCAAAAAAAAAACAAATACAAAAACCAAACAAAAAACAACCCACAGCAAACAAACAGAAAGAAACTAAGACTACTGCTCCAGCCCACCACTTCTCTAAAAAATGAGGTGAAACAGCAACTGTGATACTATCCATAAAATATTTAGCTCTCTAATGATGCCTGAGAAGATAATTTCCGTCCTCACCATTCAGAGCCTTTTTYTAAAAGCATTCAAAGAAAGCAAGACTAAAGAAAGATCTATTCCATCCTTATTGTAATCAAAGCAGCATTAACCATTTTATTCAAATAACAAGAGCTTCCAATGATTTATAAAAGACTACTAATACATAGCCACAGGAATTAATAAGCAATTTCAGGGGGGGGGGAAGGATATTTATTAAGTATTTAAGTAGTACAAATATGTATTCTGATACTGAGGAGGAAAAAAGAAAACAAACCAAGCACCCCAGAACCTTTTCTTGTCATCTCAAAACTGAAAATACTTGAAGTTACTGTCAGTCACACAGATTGCTACTCCAGAAAACAATTATGAAGAGCATACCACTGAACACTCTCCAGTGTTACAATATTAGATGCAGAGGCAGAGAAGAATGGTACTTAYAATGTATCTCACAGCCTGTTAATGCAGAATGCACAGCAACACAAACTGCTGGAAACACGGACTTCTCAAAGCTATGCAAGCAAACCTGCCACCTTCCTCAAGCCTAACAAAACAAACAGAAAACCCAACAAATCATAACTAATATGGCTGTATGCAAGCTAATGTAATTACTCAAAAGTTTAAGTGTTCTAGGATAAAGTTATCACTACCATGAATTAATACCACAAAAAACAAAAAACAAAAAAAAAACCAAAAAAAAAACCAAACAAACAAAAAAAAATTCCCCACTGACTCAACCACAAAAAGTACTGATTATTTGTACATGGAGTTTCAATGACCTTTCCTTCCTAGAGGACATTCAATTGTTTGCTGGTGCTTTTTTACACAAAATAAAAATTTCTTTCATGTTATTTCCTTGTGCACACTATTGATTTCTTCACACTGACGCTGTAATTATGCTGAAGCTTCCTTCTCAAAACACATTGTAGCAACACTTGCAGGCCCCTTGAAATTATGCAGACTCACTTACTTGAAGATACAGCATCAAAGAGCTTACTACATTCCCAAAATATCACATCCCTCGTATTTGCAGTTTTATTTTTAAAAAATGTATGGTCCATACTGAAAGAAAAGGAAATTCAGGAAGCAAAACATGGTACAGCGGATCAACTGATTGCGTAGTTTTTCTTATCAAGAGTTTTTACATACTTGGAGGGTGAGGAGGAAGGTGAAAACAGGTACTCAAAATGCTGTTAAATCTTGCAAGTGATGGTGCACCTGGAGACAAATCCTGCCAAGTGCATTCCTCTGCTACTATTCTGTTCATGSACAACAGATCACACAAAGCCAATACCCTGCAATCAGAACTGAATGTTCATGGTGACAGACTCAGCAATACCAATACCATTTTGTGCATAATACTCAAGTCATGCTTTCTAGAACATGAAGAAAACAAAATAAACAAAAACAACCCCCCAAATGAATAATAAGGAAAAAAAAAGCACCAAACATAAATAAAACCAGGACTTTGTATGTTTCAAAGAATAAAACCAAGGTATCTGGTATGTAATATGTCTGTAGGTCACTGAAAAAAAATTTCTAGGAAAAAATATCAACATTCCTCAGCACCACTGGACTTTGGACACATACACATTAACTTTCAGCCACAAGAAGGAACAAGAAATACTTTGCAAGTATCTGACAGAAACACATTCTCTGTAAGACAGGAAATTAAGCACCTCACAAATAAAGAGCTCTCCTAYGAYTCCATCTCCCTGTACGTTACAGAAAAATAAATGTGTGTCTTCTCACCCTGAAAAAAAGACTGCTCTGAATCTTCCAGACTTTATCTCCCAGTGAAAAACATTCAAYGCTGAAACCAGACTGAGGCAGTCTGGATTAAACAGATGGCACTCTATTTAGAACAGTTTCACTGTTAATAACATGATAATGGCATTCCTCCTGGAAGTCTTCTCATGCGCTTCCAATATCCCTATTAAAAAAACCCTGAAACCCAGAAGCAGATTTCCATCAAAATATATTAGAAAAAAGGCACGACAGCCTATCCCAAAATTCTGYCAACATCATGCTATAATGTTTATTCCTATTATTTATTAGTATTTATTCCTATACTAATAACAGTATCAAAAAATAATGTAATGATTGGTATTCTGCTAAAAAGAAACATTATTGTATTATATACAATTGAAGAATATTCTAGGTCTTTATAAGCCACTRACTGTAGATAACTTTTACTAGTCTCTTCAGATGAAGTAGACTACGTACACCAGTTTGATGAACATAATTCCAATTAACCAGATACTAAYATTTCAGAGTCACACAGCCACAGCATGCAAAACGCCAAGCTCCCGACACAAGCACTCAGTGAAACCAAGCCACCACCTCACACAAAAACCAGCTGTCGACACAATTCTTAACTTCCACTTACCTTTCAGTGCACTTCCAGGATTTCGGGATTCCTCCCCACTTCTCCTACGGAAACAAACACCAATGTTCTTTTAAGACAAAATATACCCACTGAAAAGCAAAGCTTGGCTGCTGGCGCCAGCCGGGCTGGCCAGGAGCTCCGATTTCTCCCTCAGCTTCTTCCCGTGCCGACGCGCCCCGAGGGCGGGCAGCGAACGGGCACTGCCCGGGCCCCGCCAGCGCTCCCGGCGGGCAGGGCGGGGGTCGGGGCTTACATAACCGGGGAGAGGGCCCGCGGCCGAGGGGAGAGGGGCACAGCAGCAGCGGCGAGAGAGGGAGAGAGAGCGGCGCCGGCAGCGGSAGAGTTGGGAACGCTTCGCGCCCCCGCACGCACAGACCCTGCGGGGCTTCCGTCCCTCTCGCACGGCCGGCAGCGACTGACGGCGGCGGGCAGCCCGCAGAGGATCCCCGCTGCCGGCACCGGCCCGAGCCCCCCTGCCCCCGGCAGCGACCGCAGCGACCCCGCCGCCCCCTCACCGCGCTCTCCTCCTCCGCCCCCTCACCCCGCTCTCCTCCTCCGCCGCCACCTCCAGCCACCGCCAGCCCCGCAACCTCAGCAACGCGCCCGCCCATTGGGCCCCGCCCCCCGCAACAAGCCGCGCACCGATTGGCCGCTTTCCGCTCCGCGTCTCCTTGCCCCAGCCGCAGCCCCAGAGCCGGCGGTGCTGTTTCTGTCGGGTCCCGGCCCGCTGGGTCGGGCAGGCAGCAGCAGCCGGAGCCGGGGGTCGGTCAGCTGTTCCACGGTACAACCTCGGTACAGGCCRGCGGCAAGAGCCGGAACGGAAGCTTCCCGGAACCTGCGTGGCTGGCCCGCGCTTCCTGTAGCGGTTGTTCGTCGCTCGGGTTCCGGTTCCGGGTGGCGGTGCGTCCTGAGCAGGGTCGCGGAGCGGGCAGGTACCGCGGGCGGGATGGCACCGGCACGGGAACCGGCACCGGCACCGGCACCGGGCCGCGCTGCTGCCACGGGGGTGTCCGTGTGCGGGCAGGGCAGCCGGGGATGGGAGTGGGGGTGGCTGTCACTGCGGGTTGTGCCCTCCCTCACCCGCTTGGTCCGACCTTTGGGCACGGCTTGTTCGGCTGGTGCTGCAGCGCTGCCCGCTGGCCGTGGTGTGGGCGTGACAGGGCACAACCTCCTTTCTTGTAGAAAGGTGAATACTGGTAGGAGAGAGGCCTTAGGTTTCTATGCCAAGGCTGGATATTTGAGGGGTCCTATTTGAGGGACAGCGCTGATGCTGCTTTCCAAGTTTCCTCATGCAATGAAATCT